GTGATGCAACTTTCACACTTCTATAAACAGTATAATGTCCGCTTCCGGTTCTACCAAAATGTTCCACCACTGTTACAAGTCTATACATGCCGCGGTCACTTGATGCTTCTGGCTTCTGGTACTGTGACAACATATGTGAAGATGGTGTATACAAGGAGAGGTCCAGGACAAGTGGGAATGCGATATTTCCCTGTATCGATAAACTGAAATTAGAACAAATAGTAACTAGAACTCCAGATATGAAAATGTACACAGGAAAGAGAGGCGAGAAAGTCTCTACCAACAGTTTGACTGATTCTCCATACATGTTTAATGAAGCACGTTGCACTTGAATGCATAGAAGCTGTAACAATTTAGGTAGAGAGGCAAGGTCAAGTGGGACTCAAATGAAAAGAGACTTTAGTTTCAACGACTAAGTGAATACCTTTGGGAAACGAGCGATGATTAGTTGCTTCAGTATATGGGAATAGCTATTTGACCAAGGCATTCTTTCAAGACGAAGAGAAGTTTTACAGTCGCATAGGTCTTCTCCGCCACAGCTTCTGAGCTTTTCGATATCAGTCTGATTTAAACCATTTAAAGTACAAAGTGGTCAGATAAAGTGGCGTGAAGGACGTGCAAAGATACAACAATGATTAAAGCTGAGAGATGAAATACCTCAGCTGCTCTTATCACAGATAAAAATTTCAGTGCAGCACCATGCCAACATCTTTTGCAGAAGTAGTTTTCGACTTTCTCGGCGTCAAGAAAATTCTTCAAGCAATTCTCCAAAGTGCATCCAAACATCTAAACACATCCCAAAAAGCAAACACTACTGGTTTTCTTCTGGAGATTTTATTTATACAAAGTAAAGCAATGAGCAATAAGAGAATGAACCTTGTGTAACGTACAATGTTGGAACCACCAATATCGAGTAGAGGAGACAGAGGGAGAGTATGAAAAAACTGAAACTCCAATGAAATCTGCAAAAAGCAAGAAAAGTCAAATGGGCAAGAAGTAGCGGATTCACAGGTGAGATTGAGGAATCTAAATCCTAATTTACCTGAGAAGAACAAGTTTGACACATCAATGTACTACCAAGAATCCCATCGAACGGTCCACGCAAATGTTTATGCCATCTCTTGAGCTCCATCAAACCATGAAGCCCTTCGCTAGGCGCAAGCATTCTCAAGTTGCGTGAAAACACTATATCCGATAGATTACTACTTTGACTAGGACGATAACAAAGTACAATCTCTTCTTGCAAAGAAGAATTTAGATGAAGAAGAGCTTCTGCTGCATCCTAATGTTTCAAACAAGATCATTACCTCAAATAAACACTACGATAAAAACTCAAGTACGAAATCGAAACCTAACCTGTTGGCTTGTCAAATTGAAATTTTTGACATAATGAGTCAATTCCAACATAACCTTACGAGGGCTAGACACAGACCGTCTCCTTCCAACCGTGCTAAGTTCTGTTCAGTAACAATAAACAAAAAAATCAAAGCCTATAAATAACTCTCATTACTAAACCATTTCTTTGCTTAATGGAAGTTTCTAACTTTACCTTCTAGTAAAGAAGACAAAGCACAAGTAAGGGGAAACTGTTCATCTGTTTCACTAGCATCCTCTATCACCCATTGAAGAAAAACACGAAAATCTTTGCAGCTCGCAAGTGCCTGAAATTCAAAATGTGCAACAAAAAGGATTACAAGCAAACTCAAAGATTAAGAATCAATTTGGCTAAACTCGATTCGATTCGATTACCTGAAGGATTACGTTAAGGAAACAATTGTTGCCGAGATTTGCCAAGCCAGGTACGAAAAAGGAATCATCTTCGTCTTCTTCTTTACTGGAGAAGAGATTAAAGTTGCGGAATCGACCATCTTTTAGGGCAAACACGAAACCAGCTACACAAACTATACTAGCTACAGACAAATGCGAAACCCAATTCGAAAAACTAAATCTTTCAGTGAGGGTACAGACAATCGCCTTTGTATCGGCATCTCTACGAGAAACCATAGTCAAAAAAAAAAACCAGTCAAAATCAGAATCGCTTCTCTGTCTTTCTCTATAGAGGAACCTAAAACTTCCAACTCGCGTGGAAGGTTTGCTCTTAACCATTTCTACATTAGGTTTGGTCCGGATATATTCGACTGTTTAATAGATTTTGAATTTTCCTTACACTAATTTCATTAATTTTTTATTAATGTGACATTAATTTCAGGGACTTTTTTTTGTTTTTTGTACAAGAGATGGGATATTCATGAACATAAAACTTAGTTTCTCATATATTCCATTAATACAAGTATCAATCGTATATAATACATGATCATACAACATACAAATAATACACGCAAGATACAGAAGCAAATCAGTCTCTGATACAAAGAATTTACACACTAAATCAGGCCATAAACTGCTCTTCCTCCAGTAGCCACCAAAGCAATGGAAGCAAACAACCGGTAGTACCTGCAAAATTCAAAACAGACAAAAGATAATATACAAGAACATGAACACATAATCAGACAAATTGAATTCAATAGAATGAATAAAGAAGATCTCAGACATCCAAGGAAGGATAAGAGCTGCATTAGCTCTCAAGCCCGGCGAAAGGCGAAAGCTTTAGGCGGCAACTGCGAATGTTTTGAGAAACAAGCCTTAAGACTTATCATCATAGATCTTATTCAAAACCATAAAACCACAAACAAACTTTTAAGTCAGATTATGAACAATGATCGGTTTCAGACATCCAAGGAAGGATAAAAAGCTGCATTAGCTCTCAAGCCTGGCGAAAGGCGAAAGCTTTAGACGGCAACTGCGAATGTTTTGAGAAACAAGCCTTAACATGAATCCTCATTAACCAATCACAAAAACCCACAAGACAACAACCAAATTATAATCAAACAGAAGAAACAATGATAATGAATTTGGTCTCAGACATCCAAGGAAGGATAAACAACATCATAAGCTCTCAAGTCCGGCGAAAGACGAAAGCTTTAGTCGGCAACTGCGAATGTTTTGAGAAACAAGCCTTAAAGCTAATCCTCATCGACCGAATACAAACAATAAAAAGCTAGGGAATCAAAATCAGACAAAGATGATTTCCCATCTTGAGATGATCAGCGAGAAACCAATTTAAGACTGCTGACAAAGTGAAACAGATGGATTTAAGATGTAAAGGGACTTTGTTCAATTCCTAAAGCAATTGTAAGAGAAACTCAATTCCGTTACTAAAGAAACATTATATATAAACTAAAGTCCACAAAATCTAAAACCCTAAAAAAAAACAAAAAGAGACATAAGATTGGGAGTTTCAGACATCCAAGGAAGGATAAAAGCAGCATTAACTCTCAAGCCTGGCGAAAGGCGAAAGCTCTTAGGCGGCCACTGCGAATGTTTGAGAAACAAGCCTTTGGAATTATCATCAT